GGAAAATGGCTGATCGGTTATCACTGAACTGGCGCACTCTTGGCCTGGAGGAGCTAGTAGGCCCCCCGCCCCCCCCAAAACTGCACCCTTGGTACGCGAGAGGAAGTTTGCCAAAATTAAAGGGATGGTACCTTCCACCCTACATGGAAGTACCGGGACCCTTCGGCATGAGTGACTCTGACCCAAAGTACTGGAACCCACTACCCCTTCGGGTGTTTCTTGGGCCCTCTGTCAAAGGCCCTCTCATGCACGCTCCCCTCCAGAAACATCTCTCGGCTGAAAAAACCGGACCGACCATATGGTCCCCGACCAAACTCTCAAAAAAGGCCAGACACGAGTGAGAATTGTCAACGCATAAGAACGTCTCATAGAAGGATCGGCGTCGGGTGTGCGCGGCTGTTGCGGACTGGTCTCGCACCGTCTTGCCCTGGCACTGCGAGGGAGGAGGCTACCGGACAGGGCAAAGTGACACAAATGACCGATGGTCGGCGGTGACAAGGTCGGTGCCTCTCCCTCCAGGTGCCAGGGCAGACGGGTGCGAGACCAGTCGCCAACGCGCGCACACCCGACGCGTCCTTCTATTGAGCACGCTCTAGCGTTGACCAATTTCTCGTCGGCTGGCTTTGTAGGTGGTCGGGGACATAATGGTCGGTCCGGTTTTCAGACCGAGAGATGGCTCTGGAGGGGAGGGTGCATGAGAGGGCTTGACAGAGGGGGCCAAACACCCAGGAAAAGGGTAGTGGTCCAGTATTTGGGTCAGAGTCACTCGATGCCGAAGGTCCCGGTACTTGGCATGTAGGGTGGAAGGTACATCCTGTTAATTTTGGCAGACTTCTCTCGCGATACCAAGGGTGGCAGTTTGGGGGGGGCGGGGGGGCCGACTAGCTGGACCTCCCAGGGCTCGAATATGTGCCAGTTCAGGATACATCAGCATTTTTCCCATCTGCGCGCGCTGTCGACAGTTACTGGTTGACTGGAAGGGTTATGGTCCTGAGGAGCGGCAATGGATTCCTTCCCGCTTCAATTATAGACAAAAACCTCATTGAGGATTTTGACCGCCTCAACTCAGAGGAGCCTGGGCCGTCAGGAGCCGTCCCTAGAGGGGGGGGTACTGTCATGTCCAATAAACTTATAGTGAAAGTTTATTCTTTATGTTAGAGTTGTCATGTCCCTTTGTCTTGTGCTTTATGTCTATGCCCTTAATTATTTCTTCCTCTCATTTCAGGCCTCCACGCTCCCCGCCCCTTTCTGTCTCCTGCGTCCTTGATTATTTTCCCCACCCTGATTGTTTCCAACTGTGTCCCCTTTACCTGTGTATATATTGTGTTAGCTCCCTCCTGTTAATTGTCAGTTCGTTGTCTCTCGAAGACCACGTATCGGCTTACCCGGACCTCACGGACCTTTCACGGACCTATGCTATAGATCACGATTCTAGTTTTCCTCGAAAGAGTGTTTTGTTTTCCTTATTTTATTACTGTGCAAAATTCCAGTAAAGTCTTTATTTTGAAACGCTATCTGAGTCTGAGTTTTTAGTCGTGCAATTGAGTTCATGCCTCAGTGTTCACCCCTTGACACTGTACTGGCTCCTGATTGGTTTAAACATATTTCATTCAGTTTGCTTTTAATAGATGTTTCCTGCTGTCGACTGACATCGTCCTGACTGTAGAGAGTGTTTTTACCGTTGTGATGTCAAACATTCTGTCAATAGGGTTCTCTGTATTTATAGTGATATTGTATTTGTTTCATAGTTTGACAGAGACAGAGCTGCTGCCTCTCTGTTGCCGGGCGGACGGTGAGTGAGCCCATCGAAATGGAACAGAGGATTTGATTAGAAGCTGAGGAGAGACGAGCAGTGTGTCTCCATCCTGTGTCCTGTGGGCTCCACACAGAGTAAATGAAGGCGAAGGATGGTGAATGAATCTTGTAAAAAAGGCTACTTGCTCACAAACAAAAAATATGCGGGTGTTTTCAGAAGCTTTAATAAACTGTCAGCGTAGATTTCGATGTGTTTGTTGATGCAAGAGAGCATTAGGAGTCGCCCTTTTTAAGCTAACTCACGGTCCAGTGAAAGAAAAGAGCTGCAGAGGCTGGAAAAAAAGGGAGTGTTGTTATTGAATTACAGGTGATGGCTGCTAATTGGAGCCTCCAGACGTTGTGTGTGTGTGTGTGTGTGTGTGTGTGTGTGTGTGTGTGTGTGTGTGTGTGTGTGTGTGTGTGTGTGTGTGTGTGTGTGTGTGTGTGTGTGTGTGTGTGTGTGTGTATGTGTGCGTGTGTGTTTATGTGTGTGTGTGGCTCAGGGGATGCACAGTTGATGAAGCTGTTAGGGTAAAGTGCGGGGCCCCAGTGCTCCCAGAGTGCTGTGCTTCAGAGTCTGTCCTGTCCCTGCGGAGGAGCGCTAATGGAGGCCACCCAGCCCTGATGAATTACACCCAGGCTGGATGGACGGATGGAGGGCGATGCTGCTGTAATTGAGGCGGCTGCTGAGCCACAAGAGTGCAACGTTTTTGATGAGCTGTAGGCAGGAAGCAACACGTTTGAACCGAAGCAGTGACAATGGCCGCGTTAGCACCACTCCGATGTGGGCAGGGCCTCAAAGTCACAACTGAACACATGCTATTCTACTATCACAGATTCATGTGACAAAACAAAACTTATTATTGTAGAAAGGTTTGTCATCTGATCTCTAGGAACATCCTCTGTTGTACTTTACAGTTGAAGTGCTTGTTTAGAATAACTAGCAGTAATAGTTCAAGTTATTCTTAAAATATATCCAAATATGAACTGGTTCCAGGTTCTCAAATATCCAACAACTGCTGTTGACTGAATATAATACCCCAGGTTTAAAATTCTTCATCGGCCCACCCCTTAGCCAATCACGTACAATGTGTTGTAACGCAATAGGAGTGTGACATAGTGATGTCACTTTGTTCCAGAAGTAAACAAAGGAGTCCAGAGGAGGCGTTTCAGGCGACGGGCTGAGTGTGTGGAAGAGAACATTTGAGCCTTTGCAGACCATTTACATGCACAGAAACCCTTAGAACACACTACTGGAAAGGGAGATCACCCACAAATATTAAATAGTAGGGCCCCTTTATAAAATGTTCATGCTATTTTGAGACTTTTGGTTCATACTTTTTGGTTGAATCCTGATTTTGAATACCTGGAGCTCTCTTTTTCCTGGTAGTGTTTTGGCACGAGAGTTTTTTTTTCTACAGGGTTCAAATTACGTTCATATTTTTGTTTTGGTTTAGTTTCCTTGTGTAGTTAAGATCTGAAACTATATATCCCTTTGTTGATTAACATACAGCAAATCCAGTTTATTAATTATAAGCATTCTCTGTTTTTCTTTGCTTTATGCGGCAGTTAATTTATTTAATTTAGCTTTTAGACTGTTATCAAAGGAGACAAGATATTGAAAACATCATGTGGGTTGTAGGAAATTGACAATCATTTCATAGCCCACACAATTAGTAGATTGATGAGTAAAGTAACAAGCAGATTAGATACAAATGAGCTTGATCACTAGTTGCATGGGCAGTGCATATGACTAATGACTAATGGGATAAAAACAATAATATATTGTCACATTCAATGATCTTTCCCTCTGTTATTGTTACTCCTGAGTGCTCAGGATCCCTGCTGTCCCTGAAGATGCTGCTTATCCACTTTGGTGATTTTGCTGATGAAAGCATTTGTTGCATCGGTGTTGGGCTGCAGTGTGATAGTAGAGGTGCCAGCTGTTCGTCTACAGGAGACTTGGACACACTGCGGGCTTCTCATCGTTTTGTTACTGTGTTTGTGCTGCTGGAGGGATTCTGGCTCCCTCTGCCTTCACTGAGGGAAACCTGTGGGGTAAAGACACCTGTGTGTTTACTGTCCATCTGTGTGAGAGCATCAAAGCAGAAAGACCAACTGCAATACTAGCTTTTGATACAAATATATAAATGCAGAGTATGTGCGATCCAAGTGTGAGGCCTACTATTTAAGATTTACGAGACTGAATTGTCACTGTGAGTTTGTGATTGTGTGGCTTGTTTTAAGGAGGTGTGTCTGTTATGGTAGGAATTGTGTGTGTGTGCGTGTGCGTGTGGGTGGGGTTCCTCTGATATAGTGCCGTCTTTTTGTGTACTTAATTAAAAAATAATCTGCTATTTCGTCACCTGCCCTTTAGCTGACACTATTTATCCAAAGCTACTTACAATGAGTGCAAACATCCATGAAGATCCATACCTAGAACAGCAAGAAACATGCAAGGACACAAGCTTTAAAAATTAACCAAACAATGTTCATTCCTGGTGCATTAGAAATAGACCAAACCGTTTAAGTATTAAAACATTGTTAACGTTAGTTTTAATAGGCACGGTGCAGTTGAAGCAGGCAGGTTTTCAGCCTGCAAGAAGACGTGTATACTTTCAGCTGTCCTGATATCATCTTTACTATCCGCTGTGAATTACAAACATCAAATGTCAAACCAGATAAACAACCACATTACAGTTTATTTTAACAGCTTACAGAGAAGATTAGATAGCATTCAGAGCAATGAGAGAAAGTTGTGTCTATGGGTGGTAACCTGATTTCATTGTTTCAGGCTGACATTAGAGAAATACCTCTTCTTGCCATTGACCTGGTTCATTTTAACATTTTGACCTTGGTATTTAAACATCGAGGTAAAGCTACATCTCTCCAAATTAGCTGTTGACTTTTGGAAACTATAAGCCAGTGAAGTCGATGGGAAAAAAGTTTAATTTCCTGCCTTCATCAGGTATGTAACCTAAGCAGAAGTCTGGCTGAGCTGCAGTTTTCCTTTTTGGGTTATCGGTGTAACAGATTTGGCACAGGTGCAGCTCCGAGGCTGCAGCTTTTACATCTTGCCGGGGTTTCATCATGCAGCAGGCATCTTAATGTGAGCTCAGAGATACTTAGAGCTAATCTCGCCAACCTGTAGCCGTGTGGAGGCTCATTAGTCCCCAGTCTCTCTGCCTCTTAAAGGCCAACAAAACAGCTTCTTTCTCAGCAAAAGACCAGCAGATTGTATTCTGTGTACACCAAATTTCAAGATTTGGGTGAAAAATCTTTACAAATCAAAAACGTTTTACAGTTCTGAATGGTGTCACAAGTGTAGTAAATACTTTTGTTAATACAGCAAGTTAATAATGTAATGTTCAAGGCAGAACTGCGAGCGTACAGCATGCACATACCAGAGTAATCTTGTATAACATCTTCAAAAGAGGGCCACAAAGCAAAGTTTGAGCCTATTTTAGATTAAATTACTGGCAGTATAAGTAATACTGCCAGTTTATTGGTCTTTAACAATGTGACAAACTATAATACTTAAACAATAAGTTCTTTAATTGATTGGTCAATTGACAGATAATGAATTAGTTACTACTTTGCTACAGGATATCGCAACAGAAACAAGCAATGTTTGAGATTTCATATACAGTACTTTGTTTCGGAGAAGATCTAATGGCCGTTTTTTACTAACTATTTTAGAGACCAAAACAGACATGTGTGAACGAGCTCTTAAAGTAAATTGATGCTGATATGGAAACAGGTAAAACTAATTATTTTAAATGGTATATCAGGAATATTTGGGACTAAAATGTTCCTTCTTTGTTATATTTTACTTCTTTATCGGAAGAACTGTTTCTTTGCCACTCAATCCATGTAAAGACAGGTCTAGGTTATTTATATGCATTTATCCGTCATCAGTTTTGTATAGCAACAAAACACAGATGGAAACAAACAGAAAGAGGCAGAGAAGTCAAGGTTTACCTGCTATTGTGTGTGTGTGTGTGTGTGTGTGTGTGTGTGTGTGTGTGTGTGTGTGTGTGTGTGTGTGTGTGTGTGTACCCTTCACAGTGTGGCAGGTGTGCCTGGGCTTCAGCCCCATTAGAAGTCTCATAAATACCACCTGACACTGTTACAGCAGGCAGGCTGCGATATAAAACCCTCCTCCTGTGGCGTGAGCACGCAGCCTTTCAGCACAATTATATTATAGCACACTTCAGGGGAGGAAAGCTACACCCCTGCCCAGAACCTCTTAACACACCAAGCTGGCCTGAGCACATGCTTTCTCTCAAGCTGTGTCTTATCACTTCCAATGTGTGCTGTTCTTTAAAAGGGGCCATATTATGCTCATCTCAGGTTCATATCAGTGTTTAGTGTCTCTCCAGGGACATGTCTCCATGCTTTAATGTTCAAAAAGCTATTTATTTTTCTCATGCTGCCTGTGCTGCAGCACCTCTTTTCACCTTCTGTCTGAAACCAGAGCCCAGTCTGCTCTGATTGGTTAGCTGGCCGGCTCTGTTGTGATTGGTCAACCGCTTAGAGATTAACTTTGGGAGTTAANTCTCCATGCTTTAATGTTCAAAAAGCTATTTATTTTTCTCATGCTGCCTGTGCTACAGCACCTCTTTTCACCCTCTGTCTGAAACCAGAGCCCAGTCTGCTCTGATTGGTTAGCTGGCCGGCTCTGATGTGATTGGTCAACCGCTTAGAAATGCCCCGCCCCTTAGCCAATCACATAC